CCATACATATACTGATGTTGAATATATATCAAAGTTTGCACTCCGGAGTAGTTAAGGAAAAAATACCCTTTTGAATAACTGATCAATCCATTATTCAGTGTGCTGAATCAATATGATATTTATAAGGAAGAATAAAATCTTGATCCCTAACTTTCAGCACACTGAAATATATATATATATATATAATCAGTTTCAGGTAGATTGTAGCTCTAAATGTGAATGACAAAAACAAAGCTTTTTGAAGATAAGAGAAGATCTTTCTGACATCTGTTTTGAAAACGTTTGCTTAAACAGAAAACAAAAGCACTTATCATAAAGGAACATGTTGATAAATGGACTATTTTAAAATCAGGAAGCTGTATCATCAAAAGGTAGAAAGGGAATGAAAAAGAAAACCACAGATTATGAGGAGATGTTTCTGTTCACATGTTTGTCAAAAGATTCTGATTCAGAGCATAGAAAATGCTTCCACAATTTCATAATAAAAAGATAGGCAATCTAAAAAAATAGACAAGATCCACCAAGTCTAAACAATCAAAAATGGGTATAGGATATGATGAACTGGACCTTCATAAAAAAAGATATCTAATAAACATTTAGCAAGATGTTCAAGCTTATCTGTCATGAGTAAAACACAAACTTAAACCACAATTATATGAAATTGTACACATAATCAGAATGGCTAGATTAAGAAGAATGACAGTACCAAGTGTTGCAATATCAGATATGAACTGACTCAAACTATCACACATTGCAGGTGGGAGTGAATGTAAATTGGTGAAACAGATTCGGAAAATATTTAGCCATAGCTGGAAAAGTGTTTGATGGTTGAATATATGCTTAATATGTGCGTATCCTGTCAACCATGTATGTATTTCTTTCTTTTTTCTTTCTCTCTTTCTTATCTATATATCCATATTTATTTCTATCTATCTGTTTGTTTGCCATCTACCTGCAAAACTCTAAGTTCACGCTGATAACTTTTAACTGCAGTCCAACCCCACAGAGTTTTTCTAGCCTCCAACATTCTATATCCCTCTATAGAAGCTTCTCCAATAGTAAGGGAGTTGGCTTCCATTATCTTCAATACATTTATTTCTTTGCTAAATCCTTCTTCAGGTCACCATTCTCTTAAGTACATGGCTAACTCAGTCCTGGTGCTATTGATCCTAACTTGTGGACTGCTCTCTTGAACCCAGTCCTACTGAACATACTGGCTGAGTTCTCCAAAGAACTGGTCCCAAAGAACTTACTGGGATCCCTGATCCTGGTCCCAGCCCCAGCCTTGGTAAACACACCAACTGAATGCCCAGCTAAATCCCTGGCCCTGAGCTAGTGAACTTGCCTGGTGAAATCCAGGCATCACCTGGAGGAAGGAGAACAAATACTGATGGTAAAAAACAATGAGTCAATAAGATAGAGCCTGAGATAAGAACGTCTGTGCAGATAGCTCCTTTGAGAAGTGAGCCCAGGGATGAGGACTGAGAGCCCAGTGAGAGATGGAAAAGGGGAAAGCAACAGAAGCATACATAATTAAGGGCAGAATAGTGGGCGATGGGGACTGCCTCTCCTGGAAATACCCAATGAGCCTACAGAATGGCCCCCAGAATCAACTGCTGGTAGGAAAAGTGGCAGAAGCTTTTAAACATCTGCTCTGTACTTCGCTTGTGGTACAGAGGATAAGACTCCACCTGCCAATGCAGGGGACACAGGTTCAATCCCTGATCCAGGAAGATCCCACGTGCCGCAGGGCAACTAAGCTCATGTGCCTCAACTACTGCGCCCAAAGCTCTAGAGCCCAGGAGCCACAACTACCGACCCCATGTGCCGCAACTACTGAACGCCTCGCACCTCGAGCCTGTGCTCCGTGGCAAGAGAAGCCACTGCAATGAGCAGTCCGTGCGCTGAAATGAAGAGCGGGCCCAGTTCACAACCAGAGAGAGCCCACATGCGGCAAAGAAGACCCAGCACAACCAAAAATAAACAAATTAATAAATTTAAAAAAATCTGCCCCACTCTTCGTTGGTGGAAAGTTAGCACCCACAGTGTCCGCTCCCTTGCACGGTGAGCGTCAGACAAATGTGTAGGCTGAGCCAACTCCTGACCTGAGATGGCATCCAAGGAGAAGACAGAACACAAAAGTGAGGAGGCAGAGACCACATGTTGAGAGAGTGAAGTGAATCCAAGCCTGCAGCAAGCTGCCTGCCCGAGGCATGGGTGAAATCAGTGGTGAGTCCAACAGGAGGCTTGTCAGCTTCCTGTGACCTCACCAGTTCTTTGCCCCCAACTGACAAAAGAATGAATTGTGTTCATAGAAATGAACCCATTAGCAGAAGGATGTGGATTTTCAAAACACAGCTATTCCCACTTGAGGCACATAAATCATTAGTAACTTAAATAAGGTGACATATCACTTACCACGTTTATGTTTCATGTAATTAACGAAGTTCATTGTGATTTGAAATACAACAACATAATCCCGGAGTGTCTCTGGGTGACACTTGGGGAGGACAAATGGACTGTGTCTTGTGCTGTAGCCTGGTGACAGTTTAGGATGAGTCTCATGCCTTTGGAATTTAGGACTTGTGTCCAGGGAGTTCATGAAACCCTGGGCCCAGATCTCTGCAGCCAGCTTGACCTTGAGGCTGTGAAAGAGCGCGGTTAAGAATCAGATGGAGCCTTTCTGGTTGGAAAGCACTCTTTTTACCCAGCTGACATTTAGATGCCTTATTTTAGACACCTGGGGTTGCAGTGTGCTACCTTGGGCTTTGATGGAAAGCTTATTTTCAGACAGGTAATATATCTAACTTGGGAGTATTTGCCACTAGGCTGGGCTCCTGGCTGGCTCGGTGGTTTTAATTCTTGGCACTTTCTTCCTGACCCTTCCCTAGCCAATAGGCATGACCAAATTCCCAAGAAACATGGCTCCTAGGGTAGGAAGGAGCTTGTGAAGCCATCTCCCAGACCCTCTTACTTCCTGCATGTGATACAGAACGACTTTCACTTTTATATGGGGCATCTTAGTGCCAGAGAGAAAAACTGACTTGCTTTAAGTGACTCAGAGAGTCAGAACCAGTTCTGGGATCAGAACCCAAGTCTCTTGCCTTGCCGTGTTTCCATGTGTGTCGTTGAATCAGGGCATCTCTCCAACCTGTGGCAGGCTCCATGGACCTGGGTAAGCCGGACAATAGTTCCCTTCCTTCAGGAGGGGTCTTGGTCTCTGCGCCTCAGTACAGTGGGCCTCATGTCTGAAAAAGGAGCCAACTATGGTGGCTCAGAGGGTAAAAATCCACCTGCAATGCGGGAGACCTGGGTTTGACCCCTGGGTTGGGAAGATTCCCTGGAGAAGGGAACAGCTAACCACTCCGGTATCCTTGCCTAGAGAATTCCATGGACAGAGGAGCCTGGCAGGCCACAGTCCACAGGGTCGCAAAGACTTGGACATGACTGAGTGACTTTCCCTCACTCACTCATGCTCAAGAAGTACAAGAGAATCTGGACCTTGAGAGGCTATTAAGGAAAGCAGATTCCATGCCTTCAAAAGGATTTTGCAAATTCTTGGGACTGGGGTTGAGGGTATAGTGATGGAGATGAATTCATTCTGTATCTCAAGGGTAACAGCCCTGTGGATAGTCGATTTGCAAGATCATAAAAGAAGGGTCTATGTCTTGGTCAATAACTCTCTTCTTCTATAGCACTTAACGTATCACTCTGTCTGGCCCATTCTTCCTCACCTTATCCCACTCCCACGGTGCACCATTTATGTTCCTACCATTTCTCTGCTCTTTGGCGGCAGTCTGCTCTCAGACCTTCCCTCTCACGCTCCATTTGGTATTCAGACACGAAGTTATTCTTCCTGATGCTCACCTCTGCATGTGAGATTTTCCTTCTCTCCTATTTCAGCACTCTCAGTGCATCTCTATTATCTGCTGAAGTTCCAATCTGAAATTCAAGAGCCACTACAATATGGCTCTAAACTGTATTCCTAAAACCTCAACTCCTCTGTTTTCCTAAAGCCCAGCCAGGTGGGATTCCTTCCCCTGGCCCACTCCCCTCATCTCTCTCCTCTATCAGCTCTGAAGAATCCTTTCCTTTTCCATCACATTTGAATCTCTCATGACCTGTCTGATTGAAGACTCATCTCCAAGGAATAGTCTTACGTGGATCTCTGGGCTATAGCATCTAGTTTTCTCTTGGATTCAATTTCATTCCTGGGATGTTATTCTAGGTTGAGACTGAATGAAACAGAAAACCTCGGGTTATGGGAAACTGGTTAAAGACTGTTGCAAGAGATCAAGAGAGAGACCAGGCAAAGGTCAATGTGGAGAGAAAAGAAATGGGAATCTAGATGCTATTATGGGCAAGTGATTTAGGGATTGGAGCCAGAAGAGTGGAACAGCTTAGTCATTCTAGGTGCTCCCTAATCCTAAATTGAGTCCAAAAGATGTCTTAGAGGATGACTTTTACACTCCAAATTGTCATTCATCGCTACCATTTTCTCCCTCCCCACGAAATGTTATCCCATGAAAAATAAGACCAAGTAGCTTGAAATTATATATATATATTTCTTTGAAAATTCCATAGCCATGTAATAACATTACTTTCCATCACAATACTACATAGCACACATCCACTTACAGGAGCACTGATTTCCTAAGATTCCAGAGGTGTTTCACTCTGATGATCAGTGGAAGGACCTCACCATCCTACAGGCAGTAGGATGGGGAACAGCACCATCTTGCCATGAACTTAATCAAGCTCACAGGAAACTCATCACCAGATGTTGTATGTTACATTCATTAGGATTTATAGCAGATAAAGTTAAAACAACAATAACTTAAACATAATTAAATATTATTTAAGAAACTATGTGTTTAAATTATTTTTTTAAAAAAATAACCTCTTTTTGGCCACTATAATAAAATAATACACTTGGGGAAGGTTGGGAAGAAATAAATAAGATTTTCCAAGATTCTGTCTCTCAGTCTAGGTATGAAGGTTCAAGGCTTCGGTGTTCGGGACTTTTGGTCCAGGAGCTTTATGGAATTCTGGACCCACTTCTGTTTGGGGTCAGCACAGACTTCCTTGTCCGCTTTGGTCTTGAAGCTGTGGGGAAGAGAGGACAGAGTTAAATGGAGTGTCTTGAGGATTTTTCCTAGGAGTCTGATCCATTGGTCCCTAAAGCTGATTAACCCTTGCTCCCTGGTTGAGGAGCCTGAATGGGGACAAGAAGAAGGGGAAATGGGAGGAAGAAACTTCTTTTCCAGAAAAGAAGTTCTGCTGTTACTGCCCCAGGGGAAGCCCTCCAGACCCTTGGCTAAAGGAACTTGGTTGATCTGACCAAGCTCCTAGAAAAGGAGCCCGGAGTGTATATATTTTCCTTCTTGTGGGTTCAGTTTGTCTATGGAGTGAAGGGTCCTTTGGCTTAGGTGTTTCACTTATCTGACTCATCTGGACACACAGAACTCAGAACTTTTGGCTGTGGGTGCCAGGGCATGGTCCACTTACATCACAGCTTCCTGGGGACACTGACTGTTGGTGACTCTCATGTAGCTGTCCAGCTTCTTGAAGGGGATCTTCCCATTGGTCACACTAAAGCAGCAGGTGATTGGAATAGAAACTGAATCTGAAAAACATTTTGCAAAGAACCAGAGAGTTATGATGTGTTGTAAGCACACATGTGTCAGAGAAAATGAAGAAGACAGGAGATAAAGCTAGTGCTGGAATTCTAGCTAGGACCCGCCACTCCAACATTCAGAGCCTTAGTCCAGATCACACAGGTAAAATGGTGCCTGTGAGTCAGTTTCTTCTACTGAACTGTGGGGTCCCTCATTGTTGTCTGCAAATGGGGAACTCTTGAGTAACAAGATTAATCCCTGTAGTGTGATTCAGAGAGTCTACTGATCCAAAACCTCTGAACCTGGGAAGATTCTAAAAACTTGCTCCCCAGCTCTATCCCCATGGGCTTAGAGCCAACCTATGTCACATGCTGAGATAGATGCCTATGGGTCTTTATCCTTCACAGTCACCATTCTGGAAGTTACACTGGACCATAATCCAACATTGTAACCTCCAGCAAGAATTTCCTCCTCTCTACTATTGCTTGAAATGTCTTTTCCATCCACAATGAGAAATGATCCTTCCTTCTGTGCCCCATCCCCAAAAAAGATGAGGATTGTTGAGATTGCATTTAGTGTCCCGAAGGTGGTACTGGGCAAGATAATGGAGCCTGGCCCCAGGGGCCTCAGCTTCTAGTTTTGGTCCTGCCTCTGACCAGCTGTGAGGTGCCAGCTCTTCTTAATTCCTCTCTTGCTTTCACCTTCTCCATCTTTGCAATGGAGGTGACGCAGCAAGCATGCGGTGACTTATGCCCGGGGTTAGTAGCTGGGGTAGTGGAAACGTTAAGGCTGAAGAAGAGAGGCTTCTTACCTGGCTGAGCGAGCACCTGGGTGCTGAAGGCAGCTGCCACGAGCAGCAGACACAGAATCCCGGCGGAGACCTTCATGTTGGAGGGCGAGCACAAGGGCTTCGGCCTGAGAGCTGGCGGTTGCTGAGTTGGTCTCAGTCTCTGGAAATCTGGCTCCTCTGACTGATCTGCCTGCCTTTTATAGGGAGCAGAGTGCAGGGGTAGCGTCATGTTTAAGGAAGCACCGAAGAAGCCCCTGAATGTGCTGAGTAAGCACCAGATCCTGGTGGTGATTTCCGAACACCAAGAAAAGGAAGTTGTGCAGTTTCCATCATCTGTTGGGGCTGTGGAGCAGAGGTGGAAGGATATGTAGCCATGCCAGCAAAATGTACAAAGTGACGTCATTAGGCTATTAAGAGCTCCGATTTCTTTGAAACGGAACATGATCTGTTGGAAAGGAAGAGTGGAGGCTGAGTTCCTAGTAGGGTGGGAAGAATCAACGGCCTGGGGCCTCCTCAGGGTCCAGGAGGTCAGGGAAGGGGCTCTAAGTCTTTGCCTGGGCTATTTGTCCATCTCTGGTCTCTGCCATCCTAAACCAGTTGCACTCCTTTAGAATCTCACATAGGTAGCTTGAGAGAATCTTGGCAGAATGGTAAATCCAGGCATCTTCAAGTCTTCAGGCTCTGGAATGTTCTGTCATGGAGGCTAAGAACTGGACAACACATACTGATCTTATAGGATTGCTGTTGTTTTAGTTGCTAAGTCCTGTCCGAGTCTTTGTAACACCATGGACTGTAGCCCATTAGGTTCCTCTGTCCATGGAATTTCCCAGGCAAGAATACTGGAGTGGGCTGACATTTCCTTCTCCAGGGGATCTTCCAGACCCAGAAATTGAACCTGCATCTCCTGCATCGGCAGGTAGATTCTTTACCACTGAGCCTCCAGGGAAGCCTAGAATCTTGCCGAGTGGTGATTTCCAAATACTTTATCAGACACTAAAGTTTCTTTCCAAGTGAAATGAAGCAAAGAAATCCAGTATTTCATGCAGATTCAGATAGAAAAGGTCTGTTTGAAAAATGCCATTTACTTTTGGTGTCCGGTGTTTTGCCCACTTAAAAAGTTAGGTTGTTTGTTTCCTTACAACTGACTTTGAAAAGTTCTTTTAACATTTTGCATTCAAATCCTTTACCAGCTATGTGCATTGCAAATATTTTCTCCACAGGCTGTAGCTTATTTTCTTAACAATATTTTTCACAGAGCAAAAGTTTAAATTTTAATAAAGTTCAATTTATCAATTTTTTCTTTCATAGATGTTGCTTTTGGTATTCTAGCTAAAATCTCTTCATCAAATCCAAGTTCGCATATTGCCTTTTCAATGAACATTTTCAGACTTTTCACAAATCATTCAATATTCCCCAATAATCTTGAATGTTAAATATTCCATAAGGGTCCATATATAAAGTCACCATAATTAAGTGAAGCCTTTCTCTACAGTTGGAAATTACACAATTCCCACTTTTTCACAATCATAAACAACAATTATGAGAAAACTGATGTAACATAATCATTACTGTCTCCCATTCTATAGCTAAAGGATTAATAAATCAAGTTATATGGCTATTATTAAGGCTCTTAATCAAATTACAGCATTATTACAGTGCTGGAAGATTTCCATCTTCATTAAAATGTGAGTTTATTGTTCTTAAAAATATTTGACAATTGCTAAGAAAAAGATATTTATCTTGTTAAAGGGTAAAACTAAGCAATGGAATAGCAGTTTCCTTTGTGGTGCTGACATCATGCAGGAGCCTTTTTAGAGGCAGACACATTCTTTATCTTACTCAGAGGGGTGCTTAAGCAGATGTCTACTAAAAATTCATGAAATTGTACACTTAAAGTGTCTGCACTTTACTGTATATAAATTAAGCTTCCACATAAAGTAAATAGAAAGCACAGCACTATTTTGCTTACATTCTAATGTATTTGTTGTTTTTAGTGAGTGCGTTAATAATTTTTTTCTTGTGATTAACTCATTCATGTTTCTATAACATATGGCCTTTTATTGTTCTTACTGATTCCCAAGAGACTTTAGAACATTTATCTCATGCATTTTCCTTTTATTATACTGTGCAGACTTATAAGAGTAGAGAATTTGCAGAACATGGGATAAATCACTGTCATCAGAATTTCTTATGACCAGAAGGGAACGTGAGTTCTTCCAGACAGTCCTCTTGCCAGATGTACCTTGTAGCCCTGACCTCTGTGGGAGTGTGTTGTCTAAGAGGTCATTTGCACACATTTTTTTGTTCAGAAATAAAGTCACAGTCTCACACAAAACTTTCAAGGCCCTGTTAATTTCTCCCCTGAGCTGCCTTCATATGGAAAGTTCATCCATAAGCAGATGACACAATTAGTAGCAAAAATGATATTGTTGAGAATCAACAAGCGTTAGTCAAATGAAGGGAACTAACGGTCAAGTAACTCAATTCTAATCCTGATGGAGCCAATAATGAGCCAGTGACCCACCCAGTATGACCATGGATAAATCTTGATTCCCAAATTCATTGTTCTTATCTATAAAATAGAAGGGTTTGACAAGTTCAATAGTTTTCAATAATTTATTACCTTAATGGATTGATGGCAGATAAACAGAAAGGCTTGTTGGAAAAAAAAAAAACAAAAAACAAAAGAACCAAACAAAAGCTCCAGTGAAGGCTTACCTTGGGTTATTGAATGCAGTGCTGTGATTGATTAGTGATGTCTGCCAAGGATGCAGCAATAGCAAGTGGTACTACCTGTATAACACAGATGTTGTTCCTGGATTAAATCATATTTCAGCTCTTCTGTAACTTAATTCATCTATGTTTGGGAAGCATCCACTCAGAGACTAAGAAGCTAGCATGCCAAGAGAACTGGCAGAGAAATGTACTTAGCTGTCAGCCCGAGGAGAAGATGAATAGCATGGTGGTTAAAAGTCTGGATCTGGATACAAGGAATACTAGTTAATATCTATGTCAGATATTCTTTACTCGCCTATTCTTATGTGGAAATGGGGTTTATTGTGAATATTAAGTGATCTGATATCCAAAACTTGCTTTGCAGAGTGAGTAACACATGTGTGCATGCATTCTCAGCTGCTCAGCTATGTTCGACTCTTTGTGACGCCACGGACTGTAGCCTGTCAGGTTCCTCTGTCCATGGAATTTTCCCAGCAAGAATACTGGAGTGGGTTGCCATTTCCTCTTCCAGGGGATCTCCTCAACCCAGGGATCGAACTCATGTCTCCTGCACTACAAGGTGGATTTTTTACTGCTGAGCCACTGGGGAAACCCTCAGTAGCATATGACGAGTGATCAATAAGCTAGCTGTTATTAATAGTCAAGTAAGAAAGGTATTGTGTCCAGAACGTGCTAGAAAGGGACCCACAGTGTGGCCCCTGGTCCCTTGTATTAATTGTCCTTAAAATTGCTTCCAACTAAGATATGTGGTAGAAATAGACTGCTAGGAATGTCTGGATTGTAGATGAAGGGGAAAAAAAGAGACCCCCAGAGGAAGAGAAGTGTGGTCCTGGGATCCTGCCATGAATCAGATGCATGGAATGTTCTGGGGTCCACAGTGGGGATGAAGGTCAGACCCCAGGGCTGACACACCAGGAGCCACCAAGTCTTAATTCTTCAAGGAGCTCAGAGACCTCAAGTGA